AGACATTAAATTCTTTGAATTTTCTTAAAAGGAAAACATTTTACTGTAAAGTGAAAGTACGTCTTATGAGAGATTACTCGTTTTTCAAATTATTCTAGTGCGTTTTGAATTTTGCTTATCATTTATTATTCCAACAGTGAGTCAATAGTGCGTCACTACGTCGAAGTGTGGGTTAAATCTCGTGGTTTTTACAAGAAAAACACATCATGGCAAAACAAATCAATTTCAGATGCTTTACTATAAAACTTTATTACCGATGGACATCGGATAATAAATTCAATGAATACGAACTAAATTTCGTGAGTGTTCCACCTCAAGTGCACCTAAAAGTCTTAATCAAGCAATTTCTGATTTGAAAAAATCGGTTCAAAAGTTTAGACAGGCCAGAGCTGTTTTCCTGCTAATATTCAAACGATTTCACAATTTTGATTCAGGAATCCTCACCGGTGTGTGGAAGAATATATTGAGTTCCAGTTGCTCGCTGTTTTACTTGTGGGCCCCAATGGGTCTTCACTTAAATTTTCTACATTTTCAAAGTTGTTTTAATTTAACCAGAATCGTTGTATTGACGGATATCGTGTGCACGGTAGGTTCTGAAACTCTTGCGAGGGTTAAGCCGCCATTGTAAAGAACAAACGCTCATGTGACGCTCATTTATTCATCTTGCTTTTATGGAAACTAATAGTTGAAACATATACACAAGGATGACAGAAACCATTCTCCTATTTACATTCCAGTTTCCGCAATTATTACTACAATAATTTCTGTCAAACATTGTACCCCATATTGTAACAATTTTGTTACCCTTATTACGCGGTGAGATTCAATTCAAAACTTTAGGTGGATTCCATTTGTTCATGTTCATGCACATCAAACGCCGTAGACAGAATATTATGCAGGTCACACAGATTGTGTACTTCGTAATTTCTTGTGGATTTATAAAGATGATACATTTCCCATTTTGTGCGTTCACTACCTTACGTAAATGTCGGAGTTTCCTGCTTCGCTCCACTACTGGCGTATTCCTCAAAACAAACTTATCGACCAATGTACTATCAAATAAAATTTTCATGACATAGGATACATCCTCAAGTGACACGTGCGACTACGAAATTCAATTAGAGGAAAATTATTTAGTGATAATTTCCGTGTAATCGCATGGTTTTCCAAAATGTACATGTTCACCAGACATGCTCCAAAATCCGTTCAGCAATACTACCTTCGGGGCAGTTGACGTCGGCATGAATCAACGAACACGCGTCCACCAAATCTCTGTGCAGTAAATGAAGCAAACATCTGCACGAAATGGAAAATGTAAACGGGATATTGCTTGTTGCACATATCGCACATATTGAATGAAAATTGCTTTCTCCATCCTGTCCACTTTCAATGCGNGCGTTTGACCCTTAGTCCACGGCTCGTTCGGCCCAGGTGTGTGTGGTTTATTTAGGCCTTCGTCGAAACCGGTGTGTGACAGTGAATGAATTGCACCCTCAGTTTCTCTCTCTGTGTATACATTTGTGGTGTTACTGGTAGTTCTACCAACCTGTAGTAAGCAGAAGCTGTGAAGGAAGCCTTGTGCTGAGATGCCTTCTTGCTACTCTCTCTCACTTTCACATGCCATTACTCTCGGTACGCGTTTTTTGTTCGCATTTATTTCAATTGCAATGGAGAATTAAATCATAAATAAGAAATTATTTTCTCTTTAGGACATGTTAATTGGACAAAAAATGTGAAAGCTCTCCTCATTGGACAAATTGGGATGCATAATTCGTGTGCAGTGATATGCCAGTGAAAGTTTTTCACTGTAATTTCGGAAGGTTTACAATTCTATTCCGATCGCATTCACCATCCAGGTATTATTTGTAGTTTGAGATTTTTGTGTCATATACTTAGGCAGGATATTTTATACACTTAATTTACACCATTTTGTTGGTCGTATGTGCATCTCTTGGAATAAGAGCAAACAATCGAAATATGTACCTCAGAAGGGGAAAATGAGCAGAATTTGGACAGTATTTGTAATGTTCCTGGTGATGTGGCCCATGAGGGACAAAGAGCTTTGTCTATTATTTTGCTGCGCTTAACTGTTTGATTGGTATTGGAATTTGATTGCAAAATCATCGCCTAGTGAAACAAATTAGTACACATTTGTCTGGAGTAAGACCGAGGTAAGGATGCGATCATTGTATTGGAAGTAGCGGGAAAAGAACACTAAGGGTAACTGAGTGTTATATCGCGCGACGCAACTAGCCCACGTTGTGAGTTTCAAAAATACTGCTCTTTTTTTTTCTTTTTACCTGAATTCTGTCTCTATGGCTCGAGGTTCTTAAGTTACTTACTGTGGAGAAATTGAAAATGCTCCCTCGCCATAATTCGAAAATCGGTAAAATTCCATATTCATCCGAACTGTGCATTATACTTTGTAAACTAAGTGATGTTCATTGTGATCAGAATGAAATTAAAATACCCTTCATGACGTAATCATGAAATTCCATGAACTACTTAGCATCCAGCTCGCAGATATTTCCCTCCCTGTGTGATATCTGACAGCAATGTGTATACGGAACATAATTGTCAGGAAAGTGAATACTGACTCAAACATGACGTAGAACTAATACTCCCATTGTGCCAATGAACTGAGTGATTTTCTGTGAATGCATTTTTTTCCGTAACCAGTGTTGTATGTACAAAAACTTCATCAGCTCTCCAGTGACGATGGAGAAATATTCCGATAGAAGAACTTACTGATAACAAACAGTAAATTGAATTTATAATTGATCTGAAGAGAATCTTTATGCCCTCTCCTTTGTCCGGCACAAATACAGCAACAACTATTCCCCTTCTATACTTTCGGATAATTAAATAATAGGTTTAGATACCTAAGAACAAAGAACAATTAATTTGCAACAAACTAACAGAAGAACTACATGCTATCTCGAAATGAGCACTATTCCGAATCTTTTGCTTCTCCTTCGTAAATTGAATAGTGATCGGCACATGTGAGAATCGAATATGTAATAAAACGAATGGTTAAACACATGGTCTGCGTAAATTGCAATTCCTCCAAGATGATTGGCATAGGTCAATGTAGGGTTTTTCAAGGCCTGTGATTCGTACTCTTTACATAAAATGATGCATACGCAATAATGGTTATCCACCGGGAATCAAACAGCTGTATTTTGTACTTATTCATCTACTCATCACGTGTATGCTGACCACAGAACACAAGGGTTGTTCTACTGATCGTAGCTAGATTATATTAATAACAATTAGAAACATTTCATTCGATTATATTTTGAATTTTTATTGACACAGATACGTGTACCCGTGCAAACCAGGCGGTAGAATTCCGGTTTTATTTAAGTGACATATCGCTCGTGACCCAGACTACTAACTACGCGGGTCCCACATCAAATCGACATGTGTGGACGGACGCGTTATATTCACTTCCGATGTATTCTCTAGTTTGGCCACATGACTGTCGTTTACACGTGATTCTATGCGAACAACAAACAGACTCTGAAATAAGAACAGATGTCGTTGTCAATCATTTACAAAACCATTTGTTGTAAGCTGGTATTAACTCCAGGAGAAACGTGATAGAATACTGATTCAGAGCAGAAATTTGCCTTCAATTTTGCACCGCTGGATTGGTTACGAGTTGAGCTTTAAAGATGAAGTAGAATAAATTTCAGTCGCTCCGAATACAAACCATTCAACTTTTTACGGTTGTAGGCAAATGCGTGATAAAAAACGACATCGCTTTTGTTTTGTAACTTCTCGATGCTGCTCAAAGTGATCGCGTTGCTTGTAACATTGAAAGAAAAATCGTTTGTTACACTTGATCGTAAAGTGCAGTATTGGGTCCGGAATGTTGATTTGAATTGTCAGGCTCAGTGGGTTAGCTTGAAGAGGTATCAGTATTGCACCCTAAACGAAAATTCTCCGACGCAAACAATTTGTATTTCAAGTCGCAGTTTGTCGGAATTCCATAAGGTAGCATTGGATTCGTATTTACACAGTTCCAAGGCAGTCAGCGAGTAGTACGTACATGTAACCTAAAGGGAACAAGCCTATTTCTTTTGCGCCCACCTATAATGGAGTTAACTATGTTCATTGAACTGGAATTCGTTTTTGCTCCTCGTTATTTTTATGATGTGTTTACACCTGGGTCATAAATACAGGTTGAAGGAGTATCTACCCACAATAAGCTGATAAAAGTGAATTGGTTCGATTTCGTAATACAGACAAGTATAAGCTCATGCTCTTGGATTTTGCCACAGAGGTCGTTTGGTCACACGCACATGATATGGGACAGGATTGAAAACAATCTGTGTCACGCTTTCTCAGTCTAATACGATGGAAGACAGACAGTCAAATAGCAAACTTCAAAATGCTTTCGCATAGAAAATCGCACGCGAAATACCAGTCCGAAGCGTTGTAGTCACTGACGGATAAGAAGATTATTTACCTGGCATTGAGGATGTGGTCTAAGGTGCATGTGGAATTTTCAGATCCATCATCCATTTCTAATTTTAAAGCCGTTATCCGTTAACTCATCTGAGGTTACTGAATTTCCTTTAGCATAAACTGAGTCAACTGCTACTGTACTCGTAAAATCATGTTTTGAATACAACGTTTATGATAATGATAACGTTTCGCGAGCACTAAAGGTTTATGTGCACACATAGAAGATGAAACGACATGGAAACATTCGAAATACTGTGAAATGCTGTTTGTTTGATACCAAGATGAGAGTGAATATGCAATGCAAGAACACAGACACGCGGTATAACCCGTAACACATGATCACAGTCCAAGGTTGCAGGAATTTGTACCCCCAAGAACCAATCTATTTGCCAGATCCGCTGTTTTCAATTTAATTTGGCTGATAATACGTGGTGTAAAGCGGGAGGAACAAGTAGCTCATTCTGAAGACTGCTTTACACGTCTTACAAGCAAACTCCGATTGAAAAATGTATTTCCTGATATAAATTGTAATTTTCTGCCCTGTGGTACTGTTTGAGATGCAGTCACGTCTGCCATGGCATAAATCGTGCAACCTAGCCTTGTTGTGCTGTCTATTGACAATGACATTACGATAGAAAATGATACTCAAACGGGACCATAAAACTTGGAAAAGAACTGCTTCGAAGCTAATGGATCGAGGAAATGAAACTGTCAAAAACGTTTTTGGTGTGTATTTTCCGAGTTAATTGCTCTTCTGCTGCAGTAAACCTGCCTATCAACAGATCTTTTTCTTACCAGTCACATCCGGTGAAGCAGAGTGTCATTGGTTTATACCATGAATAAAAAAGCTCAAAATTCACTAGCCGGGTCAGGATCTTGGCAGGCTTTTACTGTCTAAACTGTCAAGTCAAGTCAGTATTTGTTCACCACAAATGGGTGAACTGTTAGCATTTTACACCATATTTGTGGATGGAAATTTACATCAGGTAAAATAGTATCAAAACCATTAGATCTCGAATTGTTTGATGACACAATTCCGCAATACTGTCGAATATTTCTCTTTATCGACGTGTAAGATATGGCAACATAATTGTCATATGGAGAGATGCGGGCAAAATGTTGGAACTGTGAGCGCATGTGACGGTTTTTCAACAGCTTTTGTACACACTACTTCCTTTTCTTATCTATTCCTTCTCTTTTATGAATTCAACTGTCTAACCGTTGTTTTAACCGGCCTCATTCCCCGCATGATATCTTTGTCGTCTTGCTCCATGGTTTGCTCCATTATTTGCCATTCTGTAACTGGGACCTACGACGGTTTTGTAAGTCGCGAATATGTATTCATGTATGCCTGNATTTGAACTGTCGTTCAACTGAGTTCTCCTACGTGCTGAAACGTCGATCAGCCGAAGTCGAGACATTGCGATTCGTATTGAACGTTGTTTGGTTGATGTCGGTACAGCTTTCAAAATTTCTTTCCATAATAGATACCGAGTGCCTGAGAGTATTTTGGAAATGAAAATTTCACACTCAAGGTGTCTGTCAATGAAAAGGTTCAGAAGCCTGTCTTTCGTGATGAAGTGAAATTTATAAGTGTCTTATGGATTTCCCTATTAAGTGAACATGTTATGTCCATAAACCACGGACAATCTCCGGCGGGGGGGGGGGCTACAGAACAACCAG